CACCCAATTTGTGTTTTAAGAAGTCTCTCGGATATTACATACCAAAACTCATAGACATTTTCAGCGTTGAAATAATAAGAATTGTTAAGGTAAATAAACAAAAGAAAATGAGAAGACTTTAAGAGGAAAATGAATTTTAAGTTGAATTAGTGTGGTTCATTTAAGAAAACATTGACTCCTAAATGTAAATCTTGTATACAATTACCTTTTTAAACAACAGTTTTGACTGATAAAAGTAGACGGTTTTATTTATTGAATAAAGATTCAACAAGCAATCATATTTTAAGTCTTAAATTAAATTCACCTCCGGTTATACTTAATTTGTTAAATTCTATCAGGTGCTTAATCATTATTGGTTATCACTAGAAAATCCTTTTAGCATTTTTCAAGATATCCTTGACCCACCTATATTTCTCTCTCAAACCCAAAAGAGATAAAGTTGATTTCTTGGAAGCCACTCTAGGAGGGCTATCAATTTATATATATGTACACCTGGAGAGAGTGTTGAAACACAAATCCTTCACAAACAAGCCATCTTTTTTTTTTTCCTTCATTATTTAATTCCAAATTACATAACTCTTCCAGATTCCTTCATGTAGTTATATTCAACCATATTCCATTTCTCAACCCATTCCTCTCATTGTGTAACATTCTTTATTTTGTGACGAATTCAACATTGTGTTGATTCATTCATAATCTACTCTTCCATAGGCACAAAAATAACTAACAAGAGTGAGAGAGAGTAATGGCAGAGATAGCCAATTATAGAGTGGACAATAACTTGGGTTGTGGTTTTATGGGAGGGATTTTCCAGCGCTGGAACCACTGGACAAGAAAATCCCATGTACATTCACTGCCTTCTAGTGGTACTAAAACACGGCCACCAAGTTCCGAAAACCCGGAGAAGGCTCCAAGTCAGAGTTCCAGGAGGAGAAGAAGCAGCTCTGCAGAGCCTGCCATTCCACAAAACTCAAACTCAGCTAAACCTCTTCCAAAGTCAGACCAAAATCCCACCAGAAATCTTCCCGCGGATCATCCTAGGACTTCGACTTCTCAGCGAAAAATTCAAGGAGTTCGGAGACTTTCAGATGCTGCAAGAAGCTCGACGTCATCCTCCAATGGCTCAGGCCAAAACCATGACTCAGGAGAAGAGAGAAAGCTGAGAAGGGAATCGACACCGAACTCTCTCGAGTTGAGCAGGATTGTCGCCCAGCACGACAGCAAAGTTCTAGCAAAAGCTTCTTCTACTAGTGCTATTGTTTTAGGACATGTGGGAAACTTGAAGCAGTCAGGAAGCAGGAGTTCTCTGGCGAGCAATAGTCCTAGTTCTGCGTCTGGAGCTATTTTGGCCCTTTCTAGGAACCTTCAAGAGATGAACTCCTTGCCCCGAAAGAATGGTTTTGGAGGTGGGAATAACACTAGTATGGGAAACATTGTGAGGAGGAATAGTTGGAGTGATCATTTTCGGGGTGTTTCGAGTAAGTTAGACCCCGAAGCGTTGAAGAGGATGGGAAATGAGGCCTACAAGCAGGGCAGGTTCAAGGAGGCTTTGGATTTTTATGATCGAGCAATTGCTTTGAATTCAAACAAGGCAGTCTATCACAGCAACAAGAGTGCTGCTTTGATTGGCTTAGACCGTCTTGTCGAAGCAGTTTTCGAAAGTAAAGAGGCTATAAGGATTGAGCCTTCCTATC